CAACTGCAGCTCGGGCCCAATCCCCGCCCCTGGCCTTGCTGCCTCCCTCTCCCCTCCCTGCTCCGCCCTCCCCTGGGACCAGGCCGCCTCTCCCCGCCTCCTGGGATGCTGGCTTAAGACTATCCCAAGGGGCTGTGTCTGGTGGCTCAGCCCCATTCTCCCCAACTCTGGCCATGAACTCGGCCCCATCCCACGGTGGGGTGGGGCATCCCAGGCCGGCGCTGGCCCTTCTCGCAATGCCCACCGCGGACTCGAGAGGAACTTTGTCTGCAAAGCATCTTCCACCAGCAGAGCCTTCAGAAGCTCCGGAAGGGAGCCCACCCAGGAGCCCTGCGGAGGGATGCCCACGGGGGCCAGGCTGACCCTGGGCCCCTGCTTCTCTAGCCCCTCTCAGTCTCCCGACACGGGAGGAGTACTTTTCTCCTACGTCTACCCGGGACACTTTTTAGGGTGCCTGGAGAGATCTTTCCTCTCCACCGTGGCCCCTGTGTGGTGAAGATCAACAGAAGTTGTTTGGGGGGGAAAATTTATTAAAAATTCTATTATTTTATCTCCTCTGTAAGGTGTGTTGGCTCGGGACCTCAAAAGTGGGAGGAGGGCGAGGAACCACCAGGATTTCAGGGCCAGGAGGATTAGAGAAAGGGGGGGCCGATTGTGCCCTTGAAGAGCTTCTTGCTCCCCCTGGGAGAAGAGGCTGCGCCTGGGGAGGAGGGGTGTGGCCTGGAGTCCCAGGCAGGCCAAGATGGGGCTGACAGCACCTCGACTCCTCTTTGTCCAGGAGAAGTGGCTCCAGCCGACCCTGACTGGTGTGGTGCCCAGGAAGCTAAGCCTGGGCAAGGCCTCCAGCCTGGCTGGCTCCCTCCCAGTTCCCACCTCCTTGCAAGGAGGAATCACAGCCATCCATGGTCACAGCCAGCCCAAACACGACTTCGAGCAAATCCGAAAAAGACACCTCTTCTGCAGGGGAATCCAGCCCCACACCAGACCAAACACTCAGCAAGCAGAGCCTCAGGCTGGATTTCAGCTCCCACGTGCCCTGTGTGAGTGCCCATGCGCAGTGCACAGCCTGCACACCGGTACACAGCCCTGCAGCCAGCCCGTCCCTGGCTCCTGCGATGGACCACGTCAGAGAACCAGTTCTCCAGGTTAGAGGAGAAACCAAGGGGCTGGGTGACCAGAGAGACAAGAACCCTGTGTTGGGGTGCCTTGCTGGCTTGAAGCATGCTCAGAAGCTGCATCTGCCCATGTGGGGAGTAAAGGCTGGAGTAAGGAAAGAGCCTGGGCTAAGAAGGACCTACGATGGAGTTAGGCATGTTAGGGGTGAGGCTCATCAGACAGAAGCATGAGGAGATGTCCGATGGTTTAAATTTAGGGTTAAGAATCTAACTTGGGAGGTGGGGATGGAAAGAGGGGACCTGGATGCCAGGGTTCATGGAGGAAGAATGCTGAGATCCTGTGACTCTGGCCAGGCAAGTCAGAAGGAAGATGAGATGAGATACAGAAACAGGAAGGGCTCAACATCTAAGGCCTGAGACAGGTGGACTTTGGGAAAGGGGTGGGGGTAATGAGAGCAACCAGCTAGTCAGGAAGCAGGGGGTCTCTGAGGCTGGGGTCTCACAGGGGCCTGTGTCAGGCTGGCTTTGCAGAGGCTAATGTTGGGGGGGAGGAGGACACAGCCAGCCAAGAGCTCTGATGGAGGAGGGGCTGCCGGGGCCTGGGCAGGGGGAGGGAGGATGCTGGTAAATCAGCAGCAGGCTGTCCAGGTCACGGAATTATCGTTGTGAAATATTCATGGGCCTTCGGTCCAGATGCTATTTCAGAACAGTGAAAGCAAGAGGAGTGTGTGAGCCTCAGGAAGAAGCCTACAGCGATGCCACTTGCCCCCACCCTCACCCCCACAGCCCAGACAGACCCACGGACGCCCATCACGTGCACTCCCACGCTCGCACGCTCTCTCACACACATTCCCACAGAGCGGAGCTACAGAACACGTGCAGGCATGCCAACACCCACGGGTCCCACAAAGGGCAGATGCACCCCCAACACTGACATGCACACAGCCGCTCACACAGGACCCTACACAGAGCCACCCACAGAGATCTCACACACACACAGATCCCCAGCCTCTCCAAACCTCCCAGATTCACTACTTTCATACACCCTGAAATGGGAGGGACTATAACGGCCATCCAGTCCAATGCTCTGATGGGGAAACTGAGGCCCAGAGAGAAGGGACTTGTCCAAGACTCCCCAGCATAAAAGAAACAAAACTCATTCACCTCCCCCATTCTGTGGGTGTACCCACATTCTGTGTTCTCCTGCCTTCCTGACACCCAGCCTAAATGTAGTTATCTCCTCCCTTCTCTAATCTCTTACATCTATCTACTCGCCCGGTTCCTCTCCAGCCCCAGTCCATCCCTTCCTTTCCATTCTCCCTCCACCTCCCTGCTTCATCTCTTCATTACCTCATGCCTAGAAATGCAGGAGAAAATAGCACCAACCTCCTCTCCAGTTTTCCTACATTCAGTCTCTCTCTCCCTCCCACCAGCCTGCCATGGTGGCCAGATTCAGGCTCGCTGAAATGTGCATTATGTCCCTGTGTCACTCAGGAACCTACAATGACTCCCTATTACCTACAGGTTAAAGGTAAAACACCTTAGCAAAGCATCCAGGATCCTTCGGAGTCTGGTACCAACAGCCTTTCTAGTTTTGTCTCAGGGCCATGTCCCAAACCTCCACTCCAACTAGAATGTTTGCATCATGTTGGCCATCAATTATTATGCACTTGAAGCCTATAACTGACCTTGAACTCCCCCTTAGGTCCCTCAATCTTCCCCAAACTAGGAACCCTCTCTCACTCTCCTCAGGTACTGATTCCAAAGCCCTTTCCCAAGGCCAACGCTGCATTTCTCTAACCTTATCAGTAGGGATTCGTTTACTGTCCTTCAGAGCTGGCTCAGGCTCAGGCTCTAACCTTATCAGTAGGGATTCGTTTACTGTCCTTCAGAGGTGCAGATACAGCTCAGGCTCAGGCTCAGGCTGCCTCCAGGCAGATGGCTGCCTCCTACTGGCCACTTGGGAATCACAGCCAGGCTTCAGTATCCTGAACTGAGAGTGAGCATCCATCTATCTGGGGAGAGGAATAAAAGGCCGCCAGATGACAAGGTTTATAAGCCCTTAAGCCTCTCAGGTTCTTACACTGGGAGTGGGAGCAGGGTTCTCCGCGCTGCTTTCTGAGTTGCTGGCTCCTGAGTTTAGCTCCATAATCCATAAGAGAACCCCCCTCCTGTGGAATACAAAGACTTGGGGCTCCCAGGACCCTGCTGAAGGAAAATTCGCCCACCAGGATCTGAGAGACCACAATGCCAGGGACAGTCCAGGTGGCAGGCCCAAGGTCCAGCAGGGGTCAAGTTTCCACATGAATTTTTAATGCTTCCAGCCAGACCTGTCAGATGTTCCGAAACCTGAGCGTCTCCTTTCATCTCTGGACATGATGCCCTTCCCAATCCATTGCCCCTGGGGGAGGGGCAGGGAGGGCAGGTCTGGGACAGCTACCCAGCAGCCTCTGGAGACATGATTCTGGGCAAGCAAAAGGGTGAATAACCTAGTTATTCTCCCGCTTACTGTGTGACCTTGGGGGAGTTACTTAACCACTCTGAACATCCCTTGTGTTTTCTGTTTTCTTTTTCTTCTTTATAATTTGTAACCTGGGAGCAATAGTGCCTGTCTAAATTGGGCTGCTGTGTTAAGTAAGTGCATAGCCCATGGAAAGGTGACCTACATGTTCGCTGTTATTATCTTTCCTCCTGCCTCCCTCCTTCTGTTTTTTTCCAACCCCAGGGTGCCTCTACCTCTTTCCTTTGGAGGTGGGGACTTGGGTTGGCTCTGCCATCCCCTGCTAAGATCCAAACTGCCCACCCCGGGACCCTTTGGCCTTGCTAGAAACTTTGGGTGAGGAGAAGGAAGGGAAGAGAAGTGAGGTGAGAAGTGAGGCGCGGCTGGGGGAGAGAGAGGAAGATGGAGAAGCGAAGGCCGAGGGGAGGGAAGCAAGCAGCAGACAGTGGAAGGGTAAGACCCTGCTCAGAGAAACAAGAGCTAGGAGCAGACTCTTTCTCTCTCCTCCTCTTCTTCCTCCTCCTCCTCCCTCCCTTCCCTCTTCCCTGGCAACTTCTCCACACCTGGTCCTATCATTCTGGGAGCAGAGATGGCCACCCTGAGCAGAGGTGAGGTCAGGAGCATGGAGGAAGGCCTGGGAGGCCGGCAGGGCTGTTGGAGGGAGTATGCCCAGTCTTTCCAGCCCACGGGTTCCCTGCACCATGTTTCTCAGGGCTTTGACATCACACTTGGGTCGGAAGCTGCTGAATGCAGATTCCTGAGCCCCTCAGACCCCCGAATCGGATCTCTAAGGGGCCCTGGAACCTGCATTCCAACACGCAGGGTGGGTTACGAAGCACTCTAAAGGTTGAGAAACTCTTCCTTCAATGTGGGTGGTCGGTGGGGGTGGGGGTGTAGACAGGAGAAAGCAAAGGAAGAAATGTTAGGTCCCGCCCCCTCCACGCAGACTTGATGGGAGTTACAGACAAGACTCCTGCTTGGAGAGGGTGATGCCAGCGATGGGGAGCAGAGGACACGGAGGCAGAGGGGGAACGGGGGACTCGGAGAAGGGGACACCCAGAGTACGCAGCCGCGGAGGAAACAGACTTGTGGGGGTCCCCCCCATTCCCCGCCCCTCCTGACGATCTGAGAGACTGAACTTCTGGTCCGGGATGCGGAGACCCTGCAAGAGGAGTGCCAGGGAGGACACCTCCCAACTCCCAGGACCAGCGCCCCGGCAGAGGGGCGATGGGGACGG